ATAAAATTCCGGAAATAACTGTTAGATTAATTAACAAATTGAAAAAAAAGAAAAAATAAAATTCCATAATTGAAATATAAATTGAAATGCTAATTAATAGAGTAAGTTAATTTTACATTTATAGCTAATACCGGAAATAAAATTCCGGAAATAACTGTTAGATTAATTAACAAATTGAAAAAAAAGAAAAAATAAAATTCCATAATTGAAATATAAATTAAAATGCTAATTAATAGAGTAAGTTAATTTTTACATTTATAGCTAATACCGGAAATAAAATTCCGGAAATAACTGTTAGATTAATTAACAAATTGAAAAAAATAAAAATAAAATTCCATAATTGAAATATAAATTGAAATGCTAATTAATAGAGTAAGTTAATTTTTACATTTATAGCTAATACCGGAAATAAAATTCCGGAAATAACTGTTAGATTAATTAACAAATTGAAAAAAAAAAAAATAAAATTCCATAATTGAAATATAAATTAAAATGCTAATTTCAAATATAAAAAGTTAATTTTTACATTTATAGCTAATATTTAGAAATAAAAACTAATTTTAATTAAACATTTAAAATCCAATCTCAAATTTAATTAAAAATTAAACAAAAAAAAACAATGAAAATTTTCATAAAGTATAAATTTCAAATTTAATTTACATTTAAAATAATAAATAAAAAAAAAATTTACCATGTAAATGTCCACCAAAATATTCATCCGATTAACCGTACATAACTTTTCATAACCGTAACCATCTATTTCACGACATTTGAAATTTGTATGAAGAATGCCTTTCTTTGGTGTAAGATAGATATCAAAAACGATTAAAAGCTCTACAAAAATAATTCTTAAATTCAATTAAAAAAAAAATTTAAAAAACAAATTATTAATTTAATTTAAAAAAAAAAAATTTAAAATAATTCGTATATTTTATGCAAAATAAAAAAAAAAATTAAATTTAACTTATAAATAAAATAAAAATTTATAATATTACTTAAAAGTAAAATTGTTAAAGTCTTAATTTTACAAAAGTGTTACGATATGATAAGCAATGATAAATTTGATAAATTCAAATTTAGCAAAAAATATTAAAAAGTAAAACAAACAAACAAACAAAAAAAAATTAAACCTAAATGTTAATCGTTTATTTTATGTAAAAAAAAAAATTAAATTTAACTTATAAAAAATAAAATTTATGATAATACTTAAAAGTAAAATTGTTAAAGTCTTAATTTTACAAAAGTGTTACGATATGATAATGATAAATTTGATAAATTCAAATTTAGCAAAATTTTTTAAAAAGTAAAATAAACAAACAAAAACAAAAAAAAAAAAATAAAACCTAAATGTTAATCGTTGTTGTTTGTTGTATGAAATATTATTGTCCACAATGCCTCGTTTTTCAATTCGTCGATTTATTTCAATAATTTCATAATATTTTAATCGTTCATTTAAATTCATTTTCTTATTACCTTGAAAATTTTCATTTTCATTTCATTATTTACTGATAAACAAACAAACAAACACTGATAACAAATGACTTAACATTAATCAGTTTATCATTTTGATATCTGATTTAATTTTAATAATTAATTTGCCTACTTAAACTTTACATTTCTATAATATTTTTTATTTACAAATTTTATAAATTTTAATTTTAAAAAAAATTAAATTACCGTTAATAGTAAATGCATTATTAATTAGTAAACAAGTGCCTACTTACATTTTACATTTCTATAATATTTTTTATTTACAAATTTTATAAATTTTAATTTAAAAAAAAATGAAATGATTAAAATTACCGTTAATAGTAAATACATCATTAATTAGTAAACAAGTGCCTACTTACACTTTACATTTCTATAATATTTTTTATTTACAAATTTTATAAATTTTAATTTAAAAAAAAAATTAAATTACCGTTAATAGTAAATGCATTATTAATTAGTAAACAAGTATAAAATTGAAAATGAAATGACACAATGATGATAATTTGTCGCCAAAAACAACATTTATAAAAAAATATGGCGCATATGTCATGCAGATATTTATCTGTTTCAGCCTGAAAATTAAAATTATCGCCGCCATTAGTTTAATCATAAATAAACATTTCAAAAAATGTGCAAAATAATTTATGTAAATAAACATTTTTAATTAAAATTCCTTTTTATTTGAATTTAATTTAATTTCTAGGATTTGTTTTTTAGATGGAAATTTGAATAAGTAAAATACTTTATTGAATTGCTAAAGTATTCCTTCAATTTACTTAAATTTAATTTAATTTCTAGGATTTTTTTTTTAGGTGAAAATTTGAATAAGTAAAATACTTTATTGAAATGCTAAAGTTAAATTCGTTTCTTTTAATTTTGTATTATTTCCTTGAAATTTTCATTTTTTTTTCACATTTAAAGATTTATGAATAATAAATATATCACTCATTCTTCTATAAGTCAATAACTATTATTCTCGGGTAAACAAAACTTTTAGGTATATTTTACCCAACAATATACCTTTAAAATGAACAAAACTATATTTTACCCAATAATATACCTTTAAAATGAACAAAACTATATTTTACCCAATAATATACCTTTAAAATGAACAAAACTATATTTTACCCAATAATATACCTTAAAATGAACAAAACTATATTTTACCCAATAATATACCTTTAAAATGAACAAAACTATATTTTACCCAATAATATACCTTTAAATGAACAAAACTATATTTTACCCAATAATATACCTTTAAAATGAACAAAACTATATTTTACCCAATAATATACCTTTAAAATGACACACTGATGACATACACACACACACACAAACACACATACACGGACAGACACAAACAAACACAGACATACACAAACAGACACGCACATACACAGATAGACGTGGACATACACAGACATACACAAACAGACATGCACATACGCAGATAGACGTAGACATACACAAACAGACAAGCACATACACAGATAGACGTAGACATACACAGACATACACGCACATACACAGACAGACATATACATAATGTGCAGCACATATACAAATGTATATACACACATATATAGATACATAAGTACAAGTACACACACACAGACACATACATGTGTAGATACACACACACACACACACACACACACACACACATACACACACAAACAGACAAATGTATACACATGGACATACATACGTAGATTCACGTGCACGCAAGCATACGAACATATATATACATATGCAGCATACATAGAAATGTGTGCACATACATGTATACATGTACACGTGCACAAGTACACATACACATACACACACACACACACACACACACACATACAAATGTATACACAAACAGATACCTATATAGACATACAACCACCTACACAGACATATGCCTGTGACAGACAGCCACCGAGACAGTCGTACGGAGAGGTATGCGGAAGAAATTTCGAAAATTTTGAAGACTTTGCAGTGAGTTTCGTAATCAAACAATCAGAAAAGTATGGTTTGCGTGAAGAGACAAATGACTGTAAGAGGAGATGACTCATCGATGAATCATCAACGAGTAATATCTGTCTGTTATGATCGATGCAGAGGAATGGGAAAAGAAAGTGAAACAGAAATGTGAAAATAGACTGTGTGAAGTTTATTTAAGTAAAAATAAAGTATTCGATTAATTGGAAAATATTTGTGAATAATTGAAATATTATCATTGATAAGAATGTTAATAAATTAATTAGTGATAATTTCAATCGTTTAAAGTAATCTTTTACTGATAATTTTAATCATTTAAAGTAATCTTTTTACTGATAACTTTAATCATTTAATATAATCTTTCCATTTAAATATGAATGATTACAATTCATTACAATGCTAATTAATTATATCAAAAAAAAGCGTACGTGAATATTGTTGACGTAAGTTATCATTGCTAAATATGTTAATAAATTAATTAGTGATAATTTTAATCATTTAATATAATCTTTCCATTTAAATATGCATGATTACAAATCATTGCAATGCTAATTAAATCACGTAATTTATTATATCAAAAAAAGCGTACGTGAATATTGTGACGTAAGTTTTTCTATTCTATCTAAATATATTCATTAATTAATTATCTATAAAATCTTTATTATATATATATATATTTACTTCAGATTTATTGTTTATTTTAAATTGTTTTTAAAAAAATGAATTTTAATTTGTAAAAAATAAATTTTTCAAAAATATAATTTAAATTTTGGTATATTTTAAAATTTTTGATTAATTAATTTCTTTGTAATTTCTCCACATTTTCATTAATATCTACATATATTTACCTCAAATTTGTTGTTAATTTTAAATTGTTTAAAAAAATGAATTTCAATTTTTAAAAAATAAATTTTTCAAAAATATAATTTAAATTTTGGTATATTTTAAAATGTTTGATTAATTTTTAATTTTCATAAAATCATCCAATAATTTATAAATGTGATAAATAATTCAAAAAAGAAAGACGGTCTTAGATGGAATTTCTGCCTTTGATCATTGGTCTCTTACTCTTTGGTCATTGTTTATCGCTCATATAAAATCGTGGTGCATTGTTTTTCCGGTATATCCGTTTTTATTCAGGTATGTCCGTTTTTTGCTCCGGTAATTTTCCTTTCAAATTTATCCACTGTTGTAATTTTCCGCCTTTTTTTTTCGCTCCTCATTTCCGTTCTTGCATTTATTGATTCTAATATTTTGTCGTGTATCTCTGACCATTTGACAATTTGTTAATGTCTTTAATTTCTGCTATTTTTTTTCCTTTTTTTTTTCCGGACAATCACTCATTCATTCATTTATTCTCTTTTTCCTGATTCCATTAATAAAATAATTGTAATAATCATGGAAAAAGGAATAGAAAAAAAAACGGATTTGATCAAAATATTGAAATGATAATGTGTGATATTTACTATTTGAAGTTTATTTTGCAGCATTCCTGAATTTTTGCATTTCATTCCGGAGAAATGGCCGATTTAACAATACCAACGGATGTACCACAAATTCCTCAAGTTGATATGATTAGTGCAACAAGTAAATTACAACTAGAAGCAGCTGATGTTCGAAGTAACAAACCTAATTGGAATTCTTACTTAAGGTTGGTATTCAGTATTTTATTATACCTGTTTATTATTGTATTTTCATTATATTGTACTTAATTGGAACTCTTATTTAAAGTTGGTATTTAGTACTTTTTATGTCTGTTTATTATTGTATTTTAGTTATATTATACTTAATTGGAACTTCTACTTAAGGTTGGTAGTCAGGACTTTATTATACTAGTTTATTATTGTATTTTAATTACATTATACTTAATTTGAACTCTTACTTGAGGTTGATATTCAGTATTTTATTATACCTGTTTATTATTGTATTTTAGTTATATTATACCTAGTTGGAGCTCATATAAAGTTGGTATTTAGTACTTTTTATGTTTGTTTATTATTGTATTTTCGTTATATTATACTTAATTGGAACTTCTAATTAAGGTTGATAGTCAGGACTTTATTATGCTAGTTTATTATTCTATTTCAATTATACCTATATTTTATTTATATTTCAACTATACACCGTATTTTGTATTATTTTAAAGTGAAATGCTTTCCACAGCTACCGATATGAAGGAGAATATGTTCATAGTGAATATTAAAGTAATATTTTGTTGAAATTATATACTTTTTACATATCCTTTGTAGATATAGAGTAAACCTTTTTCTCATTTGCTAGGTACCAGAATAAGCTTCAATTATGATGTGTGTGTATGAAAAAAAAAAAGAAAAGATTTTGTGATATGCTGAGAAATATTCAATAATTGGTAGTAGTTAAAACATACTGAAAAGCTGAAACAAAAAAAAAAAAAAATCAACTTGTAAAATCTATGTTTTTTATAGTGTAATGTTTTGTTGACTTTAAATTTTCATTTATTTGACTATTAGTCATTTTTTCTCCTTATTATAATTAAAAGTTGATTACTTATTGCTGTTTCTTTTTAAACATTTGAGGATTACTTTTTATTGCTATCAAAAAATTTCCAAAGTTTTAGTCATATTTATTTCAGTCTTCTACTATATGTTTTGTTAATATTTACTACTTATTGCTGTTTCTTTTTAAACATTTGAGGATTAATTTTTATTGCTATCAAAGAATTTCCAAAGTTTTAGTCATATTTATTTCAATCTTCTACTATATGTTTTGTTAGTATTTACTGTCTTCTTATTGGTGGATTAATTAATGAATGAGAAAGCAACTGTAAAGCAATTTATAAGAAGGAAAAGTAAAGTATGTTCCAAATCAATGTATTAATTGTTGTAAAATAATTTAAATGGATATTATAGGAGTCAAATGATTACACAGGAAGATTACGATTTTATAACTTCATATGAGATGTCAAAAACTAAGCAAAGTCGTGATGAGCTTTGGAGAGTAACAAGATGCAATGTGCTCAAACAATGATTAATTTTATTACAACTGTTGCTAAAGATTACAATGTTCGTTATATACTAACATTGCTGGATGATATGATTATGGTTAGTGTTCCA